AAAAAACTAGCATGACACAACAATCAAACACAATAATAGGATTTGTGTCAAAATTTTAGATCCAATTATATAAATGGATCAACACAAATTTGACACGGTAAATAAACAAGTTGAGTTAGGGTTTGGTGGTTTCACCCGTTTAAAAAATTCAATCTGATACAAGTCGAGCCATTGCCAGTCACACTTGATTTTGGACTGATTTAAGGCAATGTATTATGCCTAACATTGACTTCCATAATTGAGGAGACTTGAGAAACACATAAAATTTGCAATTTCCTGATTATTTACTTATATTTTAAATTAGAGCAAACTATTATTTCTATTTTCGAATATCTTAATAATAACAGTATTAGAACGTATGTTTGAAAAGTATTTTATGCATAGTTTCTCTACGTATGTTATTAAAACTGCATTACGGACCGAAGAACTCGAAAAAGTAGTATGCATAAAAATTAGAGTAACTCTTTATGGGTTTATTCTTAACAATTATACCTTTGTGTTGTGGAAACTCCAAATGTCATAGGACTCCTATCTATCTGCACAGCCTGAGTAGAAGAACTTGAATTATCCTGCAACATTCCAGTCTGCATATGTACAATACACATTTATTTATTTGACAATTTTATTTGATCAAGTAACAAAATGTTCAATTTAAGAGTTAATACATAAAGAGTTCAATTTGCATATATTATAATTTTATTGCAATGTTTTGCATTTTAGTTGACTGCATACTTAGACAACTTACAGAAACTTCAAACAGCTGTTCTTGGGGCCGAAATGATCGAAGTTGAGAAGGCGTAGTAATATTCGGACAAGGAGTGATGCCTCTGCTGCTTCCAACGGGATTCTCCCTTGTTGAATCATTATTGTTTCCTTGGTGTCTTTTTTGAGAACATGAAATTAATAATTTCTTAACAATAATTATATATATGCTTCAAAATAAAAATGTTTGGTTTTATTATTATTATTATTATGGATAAATTATATAATATACCATTGTGTATTTTATTTATTATGTAAAATTCTTTGTATCAAAATAAACTATGTACAAAATATTTTAGTGGTATAAAGATGAAGACTTAATCAATTATTTATTTATTTATTTTAATTTATTCAAGTAAAGCTATTTAAGATATTTTACCTATTTTGGTTGTATAAAATTTGCATATATATAATTAGGTTAGTGTTTACAACAAAGCATCATCATATTTTAATTTAACACAAGGAGTTTCAGGCAAAATATTTTATGCAATTATACTAAAATACAAAAACAGATCTAATGCAATTTATTTATTATTATTATTAAAAAAAACACACACATATATATATTATCATAAATCGTATTATAGTAATACTTAATTACCGGGGTGGAGCATTTGAATGTGAAACTGCCTTGTAATATACGGAAAAAAGATCTTCATTATCCAGATGGTACGGAGGAACTGTGTGCTGCTATTAATTAAATAAAATACTTTATTTATTTTCTTATGATATAAATAGTGTTGCTAATGAAAATAAACTGAGAAGGCAGGCACATTGCATTGAGAAAAAAATAATATCTATAGATATAGATATATATTTATATAGATTGAACCATATATGTTTAGCACATATATTATTTACTTTCTTACCAATTCTCCCACTTCAATAGCTCCCCTACCTTGTGCAGCAGTCGAGGTTTCAGCTTCCGATGCCTGAAATCTTGTTATTAGACAAACGAAGGTTAGTATATGAATATTGAGCAAATTTCTTAATTAATTACTTTTCGAAAGTAAGTTTTGTTTATAAATAATATATGTGATTTTTGTCGAATCTTCAATATCTCGTTTTGAAAATTTTACACCAAAATAAGGTGATATTTTGGTTAAGGGATATCTCACCAATGTTAGGTCCCAAGAGTGTTCTAGAGAATTTCTCACGACTAGAATTGGTCTATTCCATATAATGGCCTTAAAATGAATGAACTCTACAACTTTTGATAATATCATAATTTTTTTAAAATTATATGAAAAATATTCGGATATTGTTTGACCAATAGAAAAATGATTTTGAACAACCAAAAATTACCTTTCCAGAACTCATTATGATAAAGAATGCTGAGACAATAGCAAAATATAGATAAACTGCTAGAAAAATAACATAAGCATAAGGTAGAGTAAAAATGATAATTAATATGTTCGTATCCCTTTCCATGTCCATCCCCAAAATAGAAATATGAGCATAGCTATGATTTATTTGTGTTTGTTAGGGGGTTTGGATTTTGAGTTGAGATTTGAACAGTAAAAAATTTGAATTTAAATAGTTGTATGATGTGATATAAATAGATGTTGACGTGATGTTTTGAATGTAAAATTGATTTTTAGTATAATGTAAAAAATAAAAATTAGGTGTTTGAATTGATATTTTTGGGGAAAAAAAATTGGATGAATAGTGAAAATTAAATCCAATCCCCCAAACAAACACCATTTATGGATTGAAATAATATTCCCATAATCATTCTTATTTTCATAATAAACAAATTTTTGTATTCATCTTTTATGTCCATCAATCAAGAAGGTTTCAAAAATCAATATTTTAAACCATTCTAAAAAATCACATTCTTCTCCCCGTAAAACTTTTTTCTCTTTTTTTCTTTCAAATTATGTGTTCATATCCTCGTCATTTTCTTTAAGAAGAAAATTCTTGAATAGAAAACTCTTTTCAACTTCCTCTAACCATCCAAACTCCGGTGATTATTCTAACTATCGATGGAAACAAAATACTTTTTCCATTGTGAAAATCTCCGAAGGACTCCTGAAGGTTGCAAGAGGTTGTGATAAGAAGCACAAATCCTCTTTTGACTTCCAATTCAGAGTATAATTTCACTAAAAAAAAGAGCCAAGCTTTTTCAGCTTCTAGAATAGGATTTTGGATTGTGGGTTGTATCATTGGAAAATAGGATTCTTGTTTCCATCCCAACTTTCAAGGGTTTAGGTCAAGGCCACCCTTTGGACAAGGAACCCAAGGCTTTTTTATTATTTTTGTTTGTAAATATCTGGTGAGTTAGCTTGACGAGTTTTAAAAACATTGTGAACATCCTTCTTCTACCACAAGCTAATGAGCACGCTGAGGGGGCGAACAAAATTTTCATTGGTATCATCAACAAAATGATAGAAACGAATCCAAAGAGATGGCATGTGTTACTGCCACAAGCTCTCTGGGCACATCGGAATAGTAGGAGTTCGGCTACAGGATTCTCACTGTATCAACTTACGTTCAGACAGCACGCAGTGTTACCCGCAGAACTTCAGGTTACATCAGCCTGAACAACAGCCACAACAGTGGATGTCAGTGAAGAATTCCAGTAGAATATGATACAAAATTGGAACAATTGGATACCATCTGATTAGCAGTCATCGATCGAATGGTCAAACAGAACAAAGCGCGAGCAAGGTACTATAGTAAGAATGTTTGGTATCGGACTTTTAAAGAAGGAGATCTGGTATGGAAGAATATACTTTTTATCTACAAGAAAATTGATCAGTTAGGGAAATGGTCTACAAATTGGGAAAGACTATATATAGTCCACAAAGAGATTGGAAATGGAACTTTTATTATCATGGATCAAGAGGATGAACTACTACATGGGAGTATTAATGCTAAATACTTGAAAATATGTTATCATGCTTTTTTAAGTAACAAAAACTAACATTATTCATTGGGTTTATTCAAAATCCCATGAGGGTTCTAACCTATGTTGGGTTCACTCATCATCCAAAAGGGTGATATAAGAATATTCTTTTTCTGATTCAAAATCTCCATCCCACTGGTTGGAGGTCGGTTCTAGTTCTTCATCCAGTAAGTCTTCAAGATCAGGATGGTACCGTTCCCACTATTCCTGCATTTTATCCAAATCCTATTTGGTATGAATCTTCATGTCTAGCAAAGATTGGCGTTCTTGATCAAAGAGAATACAAAGTCTTAAAAAAGATGATCTTTGTTGAGAAAACACGTTGTTCCAGTTTAGTTCTGGAAGAATGGCCATGACATGATGTTCTAGTAGGTCCATGTGATGATCAAGTACGAGCACTCAACTAAGGATGTCATGGAATGGTTCATACACACTCAAAACACGTTCATGAATCACGGCGTGGTGTATTGTTCTCCTTCCACTTTGTGAAAATTTGAATTTGAAATCAAGTTGTTTTAGTATTTCTATCATGACTTCTGTGTGACCACCAAAAGGATATTACCCAACCAGGAAGAGTTCTAGAGAGTTTCCCCAATCTCTGCTAAGGATTCAAATGCGTGGGGAGGACATTTTTTAGTGGTGATAAGGAGAAGTAGTAGATATGTATCAGGCGGAGTTTGGAAAGGCAATGGGATTATCATGACGTATTCCTTATTTATAGATTAAGTTTAAATCTCAGATTCAATCTCTTGTTATGGCGTGTGGTTGGAAGGTTTGGATCCGCTAAAATACACTTAGTTAAAGGGAGAATATGACTTGATCAAAAATAGGAAATAACTGAAAATTATTACAGAAAAGCATCTAGTGCAACTCGGATGTCGAAAAATTTGAGCTCAAGTTGGCCGTTTTTGTGATTATGAAAAGCGACGTAATGCTCATGCATAAGCCTCGACTGAATTAAAGTTTGCAGCTCATGAGGAAGTTGAGTTCGGCTCTAGTGATAGTCATCTATTAATTGCTTCTCTTCGTAAATGCAACCATCCAGGGTGGTCATCTCCCTCCGAAGTCCATCCAGCTCTTTTGATAGACGATCAGACTCTACTTTTTTGGTGTTGATGTCCTCGGCCATAATGGATCCGGAGTGGAGAAGGCCTTCAAGGGGATCATGAGCTTGCCTAAGATTTTCATCGGCCTTGGAGATGAAGTTTTCAATCTAGAGCGAGTCGGTTGCAAACAGTTGAGAATGTCTTGCTGGATAGATCCGCATTTAAAAAAAAAAAAAAGAAGTTAATTTGTACTTTAGGATCCGCTCCATAAGTGGGTGCAGAGTGGCACTAGGATCAACAGAGGGATGAACCAACAAATGAAGCATGAACTGAGCGAAGGCTTGAAGGTCTGATCGTCCAGGTCACGAAAGGAAATTAAGGCACATTTGGTCATCACTTGCCGAGCCTCGGGAGTGATGGAAATACTGGCTAAGGGTGTGAGGTTAGTTTGGCCCTGTGAGCATAAATGATATAAGTGAAGTTTCAGTACGGTACTGTTTGTGCAGTCAATGGAAGGAGAAGTTGATACCTGGCCCTGGACGACAGTAAGGTTAGATGGGGCAATGAGAGGTGTTGTGTGAAGGGGGATCCATAGAGCGCCCAGACCCCAACTTCTGACTCTTCACCGGCGGGTGGGGGGTTGGGCCCGAAAGGATTACATTCCGAATTATGTAAGAAAATTGCAGTGAGGTTTTTAGATAGGGGCACGAACTAAGGAATCATTTTAAACTCACCATTTTCTCTTAGGCTTCGATCAAGCCCCCAACCTCTTGACTAATGGAGGGGTTCCCAGAGTTGGAGAAAGATATGTCTTCTAAATGTACATGCGGTTCCCTCACCTGGTCGCCCGAAGGTTGGTTGACAATTCTAGTCAGTTGATTAACGTCCTCGATATGTTGATCGGCTGCACCAACTGATTGGCCAGCAGCCTCATAAATGGTAGTACGTACCTAGGAAAGATGTCAAGTCAGATGAAGACGAAAGGTAAATACGAATCCTCAAGGAAAAAGTCATATCAAGGGAGAAACCATTCAGACAGAATAATCGGCTGCAGGGGTTTGCCTCATGGTCGGTACCTCTTCCGACCGGTTATCTGCGGTTCTTCATACACGGTACGTATAGCTTGGTTGAGTTTGGTCTGTTTGTGGGTTGGGAAGTTGGGTCTCAGACGGCTGTTGCACGGGCGCCTAGAACACATAAATGTAAGTAAACTTCAGAATAAGAAACAAACAAAATATCATTAAGGAAATCACTGGTGGAGGCAATTTAAGGCGCGCAGTCAATTCGATGGGGGTGGCCTGAGTAATTGGTCTGAAGGCTTGAGGAAAGTCAGTCAGAATGGCAATTTGTTCAGGGGCGCTAGTGGTCGGTAAAATCGGATGAACTACAAGAAAGGCATTTTAGTAGGATTAGCTAAAAAACCAGAGTATGAGAGAAATAGTAAGAAATACTACTGATTTTAGGAAAAAGCTTAAGGCGGAGATTAGTCGACAGCCAATGGGTATCTATGGGTAGATAAGCTAGGTACTCACTAATAGCTTGTTAATGTACCATGGTTGGGCCACTGAGCTTTGTTCAAGCAACTACCTTTGTCTTGGTCCTCTTTTTGGGAACACTAGGGTCAGCTTCAACCATATGTGCCTGTTTGTGGGGAGTGGTCGGCGGTAGGGCAAGAGGCGGTTGAGGCTCGATGGTTACAATAGTCTCCAGAAGGCCTATCAGCTTTTTGCACGGGTGGCCAACCTGTGCCCAGGTAACCAACCACCACTCGGGAAATGAGTCAACAATTTTGACAGAAGGTTTGAATGGGATATACGAGTTTAAAGTAATGTATTAGGGAGTTGGGTAAGGTAAGGTTGAATAAAGTAGGATTTAACGCTACCGTTAGGGCTTTGGTTGATAAGGTGACGGCTGGCGACTAGAACAGGTAGACCCTGGCGATAGCCGAATTGGCGTGCAAAGAATTGAGGTTGGTAATGGAAAGTGGAGTATGATTTGCGGCCCTTTTTATCAAGTCTCTTACTAGAATAGAGATCTAGGCTTCAGGGTTGAATCCCAGGAAAATGGGTAGGTTAGATTAGGCAAAGGATCTAAATAAGGAATAGGGTAGTCGGTATTACAACAAAGCCAAAAATAGTTTATGGAATATTTTTCTTATATTTGGAGGGCATAGTAGTGGGTATCGATTCGGTGAAGAAAGAATCTTACGTAGAGTGTCTCTCGCGGGTTTGAGGTTGGATGTATCATAGCAGAATCGGGATAAAGATAGGCCTAAGAAATGGTCAGAATCCAGTAAAAGGACAGACGACCATAGAAAGTGGCAGGAAAGTAGAAATGAACTATAGCTCAAGAAACCAAAAAGAACCTGAACATACATTATTTAATTTTTTAGTATCAAGTAAGCGGGTGTTGACTTGAGAAAGACCCTAAAAAGGTTGGCCAGAAAGAAGGTGCAAATTGAAAATAAATGATCGGAAGTTAAGTGTATTTCGAAATCTAAATGAATAGGGAGTACACACTTAGATGGGGAGAGAATGACGTACCGATAGAGCAAGAAAATATAAGGAAAGTGGTGTGTTTCTTGTTGGTCGCATGGGTGTGAGGAAGACCTCTGTACAAGGTGCGATGTTGGTCCACTTTTTATCATGTATGTCGGTCAAACCCTAGCTCGCATGGTCAAAAGGGAGCTCTTGACCATTGAGGGTGCCAACACTGGATGCTCGTCCACAATTAGGAGGTAGGCGATCATGGCTACGTCCATTAACGTTGGGCTGATGGGACCTGCGGGCAGTAAAAAGGTGTTGACTTTGTGATCTCATAATGCTTCAATAGCTAGCAAAACCTTCTCGTGAAGGTGGAAAACGTTAGTGGAGAGGAAGATAGCCTTATCAAGCCCTTTCCGTTGCCATTTATCTTAAAAGTGTGGGGTCCAATCTTGAGTGCCAAGTTCGAAAGGCATTTTTTGGATTGATAAGGTGGATTTTACGATCTAAGGAAGAGATCTTAGTATCTCCTGCACTCACTTTGCATCTTCTGAGGTTGTGCAATAAGGGCGAAGGTTTGGAATTAGAACCCTTGACAAAACAAGATCAATGTTCGGGTTAGATCCATCAAAGGGAAGGGAAGGAATGTGGTGTGCCATTACAAGGAATGTGATTTTCCAGAAATTAAGGGATGATGTAAGAAAGAGAAGATGATAAAGATTATTTTTATACAAAGGAATTTGTATATTTGAAAGGAGAAAGTGAGAAAAATCTTAAGCATCCATAAAAGGGTTTGTTATAAACCTTTATATGACAGTGAAACAATGTGATTATTACTTTGAGAAGGTGATAAAGACTACTGTCTATATTGTAGTTTGAGAAGTGGGGTGTGAAACTCTCGTCAGTTAAGCGCTCAATCTAGGTAACTGATTGATAAACAGTCAAAGATAGTTTTATTGTTTTTATAAAAGGACTTCAGTGGGAAGGATTAAAGGATTTTCAACCGATAAGAATTCAGATAACTTCGTTTAGGATCATCACTAATACAGTCTATTTTCATTTACTTTTTAATGTAATTAAGTCATGTATTTAAATATTTCAAATCTCAAGTACAAAACATCAAGTTCGAAGTTTGTTCGAATTTCACTATTTTTTGTTGAAATTTTCTCCTCAACAAGTATATTGCAACTAATATAAATACACCACCTCGCAAATTTCACCTAGGATAATCTAGTCATTTCTTATCATAACTAATCTTAAACACAAATAACTCATGCCACTCTTCCCATCATAAATATATAAACTCAAAATTTCTCCAACACTTCTACCCAATGTTTTCATCAAATTTCAACCACATTACACAAGTACATAGTTCCCACCTTTCCCGAACTTCATTATAATCATATATCCGTCAAGTTCACTCGCTAACATCTCATGCACTAGTATCCGCCACCTTAATTATATCCCAACATTCACCCATTATATTTTGCTTTAATTTGCTTTATAAGAATTAGAGTTCTTTTTTTTTTCTTTCATATATTTTACTTTGCACAATCGCAATCACAAACTCACTGTAATTATTATTTTAAAATTATTTCGCGATTTAAAAAATCTATGATTTCGACTTGGAAACTCATTAGTAAAAAGAGTATAAAATCATCTTTGATGTAAATGAGGTAACTACAACTTCGACTTCATTTTATTTTATACCGTCAACTATAAGCCACAATCACAAGTTCTATTCAATATAATTTCCGTCAACTCAATACTTCATCAAATTTTTGGTGCTATTTCTAATAGTTTTAAATCAAGAATTATTTCTTAGAAATACTTGAGTTCTATTTACAAAATTTTATGCCTTACTTTATTATTTAAATTTCTAATCGTTTAATTGGATGTGGTACAATATTCATAGGGGTATTGTTAAATATTTTCAGTGTGTACCAAATTTCACTCATTCTCGAACTCAGAGACGTATGTTTAGAGAAATAACTATATAAATAATCAAGACCATGCAGGGAAACAACAACCAAACTATTAATTCCGCGCTTACAACACTACTTCATATGGATTTTTAGAAGCCTGCCAACTGTTGCAATTGATCCACAGCTAATTCAAGTTCTTTGCACCATCAAGAAAGGTGGGACTAAAATGCGGCAACACATTGTTAGGGTTGAGAAAGCCAAAACTTTGCAAACTCAGATGATCAATGCACAAGCCTCATATTACATTAATTTATCTCAGGTCATCCCCAAGTACGTTGTTCATCAAGAAAATCTTTATTCATTTTGCCTAAGAAATTTAACATCATAAGATATAGAAAACAATATATGTCCCTATTTTATAATCACCCGCCTTCTGTTTCTATGAACCAACTGCAACAACATATTATATGACAAGCCAGTCCTTCATATCTACTTATTTATTCAATCAACTTCAATCCATCTGCTTGGAAAAATTACTCCTATTGTATATGGTGAAAGAAGTCAAATAGATTATAATACTGAAACTGTAGATGATTTAGAAAGCATGATCCCAGGAGCTCTTGAAAGCAAGTATATTTGATTAATGTTTAAACTTCTCTTTTTCTAGATGTTCTAAATCTTTCTTTTTAACTTTATGATTCTTCAACCAAAGATTCCACCATAAGGTGTACTTAACATAATGTCCCAACTTTTTCAAAAAGGAAAATGACCGACATATTTTCTCCAACTTTTTCCAAGTGCATTAAATTCATCTATACTTTACTCTGGCGTTAAATGTTTTATTAAACATGGTGCATGACTAAACTACCTTTTTTTTACGCACTGTAGCTCGTTAAAAATCATCCAAGGAAGGTATTGTTCAGAAACCATTATCCATTGTTCGGGCCAAGTCCAAACACAAGAAATAAAAAACATCTTCAGTATTTTGTTCTTTTCTTTGATCATGCTATAACATGTTTAAACATTTTTGAATTAATATATTTTCATTAACTTCTTATTGATCACCAATAAAATTGTTGAGCAAGTAAGGAAAGATTATTTTCTGATATTGACTATTCTACAAACTTGCCAATTACAACAACGTTACTCTTTTTTAGAAAAAATATAGATTTATTAGAGCAAAAAATAAAAATGCAAGTTGAGTTACAAAAATAATCCAGAAAATGGATCCAACTATTAAAGTTATGAGTAAGAGTAAAAAAATAAAAAATCTTCTCTTTAGGCATTGTTTCTTCACCAGTGAGGGTGGGTATTTTGTTCTGGTCCACCCAATAAGAGGCTTCAGGAACTTGATCAGGAATGATTGGATTTTTCTTCTAGCTGGAATTAAAGGAAGCAATCAAATTTTAAAACCGTCCCTCCTTTAGAATACATTTCTAATATTTCACCTCCCGTTGTAGAAAATTTGGTTGATGATATTCTTCCAGATGAGACGTATCCTGAAATTTCTATTAAAGAGTCATCTTCTCTCCCCTTATTAATCATTCATATTTCTATAAACTGCTCTCCTTGGTTCGAGATCTAAACCGGGTCCTTGGATGTCGTCTTTGAGTGAAGAGATCATCATTGTTGATGCTGGAAATAAAAGACACGATACAAATTAACCCATTGTCATAGGTACACAGGACTCTTGTAGGGATGTCTTTTCACCCTATTCTAACAAAAATATAATGATG